TGGTAAGTTGTTATTTGATGTATTACTCAATAAAATAACTATAATTCGTTGAAAAGTAGTTACTTTAAATAATATATTTCGATAGCATTTTCTAGAGGCTTCATGATACTAACCTTCAAACGTGGTACAAGAAATGGTAAAAAAATTTGATCAACTCGAGATCTACGAGGCTCAATTGAAACAGAGTCAAAATTTTGTCACGTTGAGTTGGTGGAATGGGATAGGGCAAGAAATCTTGACCCAACTCAAGTTTTGGGGGGCAGTATCGATTATCCCGCCCCCATTATAAAATTAAAAAAAAAAAAAAAAAAAAAAAAAAAAAAAAAAAAAAAAAAAAAAAAAAAAAAAAAAAACCCCATTATACCCTCCTCCCCACCCAAATCCTGAACCATGCCGCTCCGTCCTAAGTGGGATACAATGGCGAGAAATCTCTAACAAATTCTATCTCATTGCCATCCCTAATGGGTATAGTGTCCTCTGTCCATGATAACACGGGTTAATTGTTATTGCAATAACATAAACCTTTATGTGGAGATTCCTATAGTTAAAAGACAATCAATAAATTTAGGTAATCATAACGCGGTGGTGGTAAGTGGTAGCTGGGCTGACAATGTGAAAATAAAAACCTCATGTTCACTAATCATATAAATACTTGTCCAAAGAATTTGATTAATGTTGCGATTTGAGATGGAACCTCATGAATGGTGGAATTTTAATATTATTTAATAGTCTAGAATTGAGTAGGAAGTTTTTAACTTGAATTGGCTAAGCGCCGTTTGACATTATTTTTGCTTTTATTTTTGTAGAAAAGCTTTTGTGGAAAGCTATCGTAATTTTTATTTGAAAACTAATATTTATAAGAACTTTCAATTTCAGAAGTGTTTTTAAATAAAGTCATATTGAACTAACTTTCTCTAAAAACTCTTTTAACTATGAAAAGCATTTTAACAAAATTAGTCAAAAGGATCCAAAAACAATTTTTGAATCTCAAAAGCTCTTTTTCTTTTCTTTTCGAAAATCATGCCAAATGAACCCTCAAATGTCAAGAAGATGGTCAAAACAATAATAATGGCGAATTATAGTGGAGGAAAAGTCTGGAAGTCGCATTCCTGTGCAAGGTGATTGAATTGAATTAAAAATTAGGATTGTGTGAACGTAAAGTTGAGCAGTGGGAATCTTTGGCGGGTCATAATCTTGTTAAAAGAATAATGCTTATTAGCATTAGTGATGTTAACACCGGTCTAAATTATAACACTTGATAAATATAATTAAATGAATCATGTACTATTGTTTTTAAATGAATTTATCGTTTAGTGACATATAGATGACACCTAAATTGTTGTTTGATCTACATGCTACATATCATTGTTATTATTAAAAACTCTTTTCCATTGGATCATCTACTGGGACTAGAAAAATCTTTTACAAATCTTGTTAAATAAGTTAGAGAATGTAATGGGGCGGATCGATGTTGGGGTAAACTCCCCGTCCCTGCTTGCCAGGTAATTTTTCGTTCCGTACTCGTTTAAAGAGGGGTGGGCTCTTGCCCCGTTTAGTACCCATGTTTTTTTTTGTTTGCTTGTTTTGATAATTCATTTTATTACCCTATTCATTAAAATGAGACAATAATATATTTATTAGATTTTTAATTAATTTATTTATTTTTAAAAGTTAAATTATTCATTTGGTAAATTAAAGCTTTTATTGTTTGTTATATTCTTTAGATAATCTTAGTTATCATCTTTTACTAGAATTAATGAAATTTTGTAGAGTTTTTCATTTAATGTATTGAATTCTTAAAGTCAAAAAAAAAACAAAAAGATTAAACGGGGCGAGGCCCTTGTTACCCGTACCTGCCCCGAGTGCAAAGCTCCCCTCCCCATCCCTGTCCCGACCCGAATGCCGGATTAATCAGGTAATTTTCACCCCCGTTCGGGATGAGACCCCTGGGGTATCGAGTTTGACGGATTTTTGTGTCATTCCTAACATAAGTGTCTTTGATTTACTTTACTTTTTATGGGAAATGTTATTTTTTTCACCAAAAATCCTATTTTTGGATTGTTTGATTGACAAATTTTTTCATGAAAAATATTTTTCAAACTTTTGGTCAAGTGATCATATTTTTCTCAAAAACAAGGAAAAATATGTTCTTTACGAAGTGGTGATTTTTATGTTCTTGATAACTCACTCTCTCTCTTATTCTGCCCATAATAGAAAATGGGCAAGGATAATAATTTTTAAATTAAAAATTAAATCAATTAAATATATTTAACTAATAATTTCCATATAGATAAGTTTAAGACAATTGAATTACCTAAAATTTAATTTTTTTTTCATACAAATTTCATGCTCGCAATCCAACGTGTCCTTAATTTTATTTTCCACCTATGAATGGTTGGAGAGTGAAAGATTAATGATATTCATTTGTATTTATTTGTATTTATATTGTTGAGTTATGTAAATTCAAAATGAAATTTGGTACTTGTATCTTGGTTTACTTCGACGATGTACGCGATTTGGGACAACAATATGTTTAATGCACTCAAAACTTGTGCAAAAATGAAGAGAGAAAATGTCCAATTTTCTGTCAACTTTATCTAATTTAACTAGAGTGCGTAAATATATAAAATTCTTACAAAAAATAAAATAAAATAAAGACATTGTCTAATGACCTACACGGAATAGCATTTGCTTCTCATTTTTCGTGTTATCATAAAAGAGATTCTCACGGTATCAACTTCTTTTAAAATATCTTATAATTTTTCAAAATACTTTAAAAAAATATCCAAACATGTATAAAAGTAACTTCTTAGTTTCAAATTTTTTTTTTTTCAAAATAATGCTAGAGATACCCTAAATATACTAGAAACTATCTTTAGATATGCAGTTGACAGTTGACACTTAGACTTGTGTTAAATATTCGTGCTGCTAGATAACATTACCTTAATGAAAATGTCTACACATCACCTTTCTTTCATTTACTCAATAATCTTTGTATTGACACTTGCTGTCAGCTGTTCACCCCGAAGTCTTGTACTAAATGTAAATTGAATAGGGGTGAAGCTTGGGTTGGATGAACTTCCCTGTACCTGTCATGTTGATGATTTTCAAGAAAATAGGGTTCGAAAATAAAATATCATAATTTATCGTTCTTTTTAATTTATCTATTTTAAAACTTTAATAATAAAATAAAAATATTCAATTTAGATATATATTCTTTATTCGTGTTTTGATTAACTAGTTAACTAACGGGATAAAGTTTTAACAAAAATTAATGTTGGCAAAATATGATTTGATGGAAGAGTTGACTGTGTTTTAAACAGTCCAATAATATGGTGTCATGTGATATTAGGTTAGCATGATTCTCTTTCTATCTATGCAACACCGTTCATTACAGGTTAAATGCATATAGCCCATTTCTTGTTCGGTATCTATTTAGTGAACAACACTTTACAGCACCCTCCCTCACAATGAGGGGGCTCACAAATTTAATATTCATGTTGACCTCCTCAACATGTGAAAGGGCTGTATAGCATGATTTACAAATAGTTTTTCCCCTTTCTTGTTCAATCGTTTCACCAAGTAGAGCTTTGACTTTGAGTTGATTTTTAAAACTTTCTCAAATATTCCTTATTGACTTTTCTCATGACAAGGAATCTCCTCGAATTCCCACCTTCCTAATGGACTCCATGTAAAAGTGGGTATAACTCTTATTCAAGCTGAAGCAGTCCCCGAGTTTCCACAGCTTTGCATTTGTGCCCTACATTTTACGGGAACCACAAATCTTCCCCTAATGTTTTTGAAATAAATACATAGGTTACTGAGATTTTGGAAGTCTTCAAATTGGTCCATAAACTCTGTGAGTGTTGCAAATAGGTCCCTAAATTAATCGATTCAGTACCAAATTTTGAATTTTGTGCGAATACGCTCCTAAACTTTATGGATGCTGTAAATCGGTCCCTATATATTCCATAACACGAGTCAATTCCTGGGTCAAGTTCGAGGCATTACAATAATCTAAGTTATTAGCTAATTTGATAATCGTTTTGGGATATGCCACAAAAAGAATAAATTTTATCACTTCAAAAATCAAATATTTATATCTTTTAGGTTTAAACCCTAGTTATATGAGCACATGTTATTCTTTAAGAGACAATCATGGTCATGTGCAGAACACCACTCTTCAAAATCTAATATCGATGCCTTCTGATCAATGAAAATGACGACTATGATACTATGAATTGTAACTGGCGATGACAAAATGTAATAATGATCGAAAATAATTATATCAATACAGGTGGATAAAGATATTTCACATCTTTTTAAGAGCCCGTTTGATAGAATTTGTTTGAGAATAATAAGTTATTGAATAATATTTTTTGGAAAATATGTGGTTAAAAAGTAAAAAAAAACTTTATTACTTTGTGTGTAGAATATTTTTGTGTGTGAATGTATGTTGAAAAATGATCTCATAACAAACGATTTAAATTTTTAAGGATTAACATACAGGGGCTAAATCTAGAGGAGGTATAACAATTTTGTTGAACTTCGAAGGTATATATTTAGAAAGAAAAAATTGAAAATAGTGTTATTAACTTGAAACATGAAAAATAAAATAAATTCTAGGCAATACTTATTTATATGAAAATTATTAATTAAACGTGTTTGATTAATTTAATTTTCAATTAAAAAATATTATAATTTTCTATTTTTTATTGATGTGCAGATGAGAGAGGGGACAAATAAGACAGAGAAAAAAAGAGTGAATTACCTAAAAAAAAAAAACTATACATTCCTAAAAAATGTTTTTCTTGTTTTTTAGAAAAATATGATTATATAACCAAACTTAAAAAAATACTTTTCAAAGAAAAAATGTCAATCAAACACCTCCAAAATAATAATTTAGAAAAATAAAATCAATTAAACAAACTCGAATATTAATTTTGTTTAATTTATCTTGATTAATAAGTTGACGGGAATTTGAACGGCTTAAGAAAAGTCAGAAGGGCAATTTGCCAAGCAATTGTGTCCACTTCTATGTTCCGCCGAACGAAAAACGAATCCCGATTCTCGGAGCCTCGAATCATCGACGATGGCGCCACCAGGAGCAGCTATCACCTGGTGCGCACTCACAGCAATTTTCGTGGTCTCCCTCCTCATACAGCCGTCCGTCTCTATCTATTGCGATGAGGATGACTGTTACGATCTCTTAGGGTACTTTCAACAATGTCTCCTTTCCCTTCAAGTCATTCATTTCCTTGCTAATGCTACAGCATTTCAATTTTCTGATTTGTGAAGTTTGATTTTGAAGCGTCTCTCAAAATGCCAATGCCTCTGAGATCAAGAAAGCTTATTACAAGCTCTCTCTTAAATAGTAAGTTCTTCCCATTTTCAATTATAGTTTTTTTTTTTTTTTTTAATAATTTAGGTTGTTGGATGTCGTTTAATTATTTATTTTGTGTTAGTCATCCGGATAAAAATCCCGATCCCGAGTCGAAGAAGTTGTTTGTGAAAATTGCAAATGCTTATGAGGTAACTGTTTAAATTTTTAATCTGGCTGTTTATTCTATTGAAGTTTTTCAAGATAGACTTATGCATATTCGTTTCGAAAGCGCCCATCTTTTATGCAATCAAAATGGATGTTGATTCACTGACCACAACTTGTATTAGAACTGAATTGAAATGAAATCAGATTCTGTTATTGATCAAAAGTCTTTGAAATGGATGTACAAATACAGTATAAATAGGCGCCAAAAGAGAAAGAAAAAGCCAGCTGTCATAACTAACTTCCAGCTGGTAAAACTACCTACCTAACTAGCTAACTAACTTCCCAATTATATACAAAATACGCATTGGTCTAACACACCCCCTCAAGATGTGCTGTAAATGTTTCTTACACACATCTTGGATAAGAAAGGATTAAGAATAGAAGCAAGTAAAGGTTTAGTAAAAGCATCAACAATTGATCGATCCAAACTGTCTCACTTATTGTGGCTGCAAGGGCTCTATATTTAGCTTCAGCTAATGAACGAAACATTGTGGGTTGTCTTTTAGATTTCCAAGAGACCTTGGAATCACCAACAAAAAATGTAGAAACCAGCGGTGGATTTTTGTGTATCAATACAAGACCCCCAATCTACATTAGAAAATGCTCGAAGACTGATGGATGAACCAGAAAGTATTTGTGAAGAGAAGAGGAGACCTTGACCAAGACTATCTTTCAAACATCTCAGGAGATGATGAACTGCTTTAAGATTTAGCAGCATTGTTTTAGACATGTATTGACTCAATTTATGCACTACAAACGTGATATCAGGACGTGAAAGAGTCAAATAGATTAGTCTTCCAATAAATCTCCTATAAGGAGAAGCATCTTGCAGTAAATCACCATCATGAATGCTGAGGGCTATTTTTGGATCCATAAGGCTGCTTACTGGTTTGCAATCCAGATATCGTGCATCCTCAAGCAGCTGTAGTGCATATTGCCTTTGTGAGATGACAATTCCTGATGTAGAGCATGCATTTTCAATCCCCAAGAAGTACTTCAAACATTCCAGATCATTGAGATTAATTTGAGAGTGCAAAAACTCCTTTAATGAGTTAATGATTTGAATGTTAGGCCCAATTATGACAATTTCATCCACATAGACTAGCAGCGTCACAAACCTGTCATCACACCCTTTGGTGAACACGGAATAGTTGGCCTTAGATTGGGTGAAACCACATTGAATAAGGGCATGAGAGGACTTCGAATTCCATTGCCTTGAAGTCTGCTTAAGTCCATATATGGACTTGTGTAATTTACAAACTAGCATCTCCCCTGTTTGAGAGGATTATGGAACTCATAGCCAAGGGGAAGGTCCATATAAACCTCCACAATCAAGTCACCATTCAGAAATGCATTATTTACATCCAACTAGATTAAATGCCATTTATGGCAAGCTGCAAGGGCGAGCATTACGTTGACAGTTACAATCTTGTCCGATGGGGAGAAAGTATCGAAGTAATCCAACTCTTCTTGTTGTTTGTAGTCCTTTGCAATAAGGCGTGCTTTATGCCACTCAAGAGATCCATCTGATTTATATTTATTCTTATAAATCCATCGACCATGAAAAGTTTCCCAAGAGGCAAAGGAACAATAGATCACGTGTGATTAAGTTCCATAGCCTCTAGTTCAAGTTTCATAGATTCACGCCATTAAGGAAATTGAGCTGCTTGATGAAAAAATTGAGGCTCAAACTGGGATGAGATATTTAATACCAAATGTCTCTGAGGATCAGAATGTCCAATGTGATTGGGGGAATGAGTAATGAGATGATCAGTTTGAGAATTCGAATTGCAATGATAGTCTTTGAGGTACTTGGGAGGTCTAGAGGTTCTTTGGGATTTTTGAATGTCAAGGTTACTAGGAATAGTCGTGTGAATGATCAGGAGGAATGTGATCAATTGGAGATGAGGGATGTAATGACTTAGGGGAAAGAGCATCATGAGTATCTGCATTTGGGGTAAGATCACAAGGGACATGATCTAACTGGACAGACATATCATGAGGAGGAAATAAGGAAGGAAATGGTAACGCTAGATCAGGAAAAGGATCCAGCACTTGATCATCCTCTACAACAGTATGAAAAGGGAATATCTCTTCATGAAACGCATCCCTGGATATAAAAAACTAATTTGATGAAACATCAAATAGTTTGTAGCCTTTGACTCCGAATGGATATCCCAAGAAAACACATAATCTGGCTCTTGGCTGAAATTTATTCTTGTGTGCTTTGAGTGTAGATCAAAGACTAAACATCCAAAGACTTTAAGAATAGAGCATTCAGCTGGACTACCATGTAACACTTCATATGGTGTTTTATGTCGCAAAAAAGGAGATGGAGTTCTGTTGATTAAGTAGGTTGCTGTCAACACGCATTCATACCAGAATTTGATAGGAACTCTTGACTGGAAAAATAGAGCTTGGCTACATTTAAATGATGTTGATGTTTGCATTCAACCAGAATTTTGCCGTGGTCTTTCAACACACTTGAACTGATGGAATACCTCTCTCTCAGTAAAGAATTCATTGAAGGATAATTCATGAGCATTATTTGATCTAAAACTCTTAATAGCAGCATTATATTGTGTAGCAACCATATTAAAAAATGATGTACACACCCACAACATTAGTGTTTTGTTTTAGCATGTAGATCCAGGTGAATCTAGAATAATCATCAAACAAAGTTAGGAAATATCTGTATCGTGAGTGTGATGTAACATGATAAGGCCCCCCATGTCACAATGCAATAGGTCAAAGGGCTTCCTGGAAAGGTTATTATTGGACTCAAATGACAATCTTTTTTGCTTAGCCAGAGGACAAATATAGCAAGGAATATATTTATTCAATTTCGCAATATCACACACCAAGTGGTCTTTTTAACACATTTAATCTTTTAAAAGAGAGATGGCTAAGCCTATTGTGCCATATATGAGCAGAAACATTACCAACAAAAGCATTGGAAATAGAGTTAAGGACTCTGGTGTTAAGTACATACAAAACATGGACTTTTTCACCCCTGCCAATCATCATCTTGGTTGTAGCCTCCTGAATGATGAATTGATCATGAAAGACGCTCAAGGTGAGTTGTGATCCTAATAGTTAATGCACTGACTCATAATAAATTGAATTTGAATGGGGCACAAATAGAACATCATGTAGCATCAGTTTTGGACTTAATCTGATATCACCACATAGGCTGATCGGTATTCGTGTGTAGTTAGCCAAAGTGAAACTTGAATTATCAACCGTTCTCAAGTTTACAAAGGCATCAGCAATAGAGCACACATGTCTAGTGGCTCGTGAGTCCACCATCCAAATCTCTTTGGATGCAAACGTAGGACTAACTGATATGGAATGACATGTACCTCCAGCACATGAAGAGGTATTTTTGACCTGATCAATTGAAGTAGAATTCGAGCTTGAAGCTAAATGATTGGATAACATTGTTGTCAGTTGCTGATATTAACTGGTGTTCAAATTCTGCATAAAATTCCCCATACCAAGCAGTTGTTCCATCTACTTATTGAGTGAGAGAAGCAGACAACTGATTAACAGAGTTAGAAATAGAAGAATGTTGGAAATTGTCCTTGACCTTGACTTCTAACCCGGTGGATATCCATGGATTTTATAACATTTATCAACAAAATGTCCATGGCATTTGCAATGTGTACAATAAGGCCTTTCCTTCTTGAAATTTCCAAAGTTACCAATTCTTGAACCGTTATTGCGAAAACCAGAATTAGTTGCTGATTTGGCATTATCAAATCTAAATGCAAATGTGGCCACTCCATTTGCATCAGCTCCGGTAGGTTATTTACTTATTTTTCTCTGATTTTCTTCTCGAGAAATTAAGGCAAATACCTTATTAATGGGAGGTAGAGGATCTATAAGTAGTATCTGACCTCTAGCTTGAGAGAATGATTCCCATGAGAAATGATGTAATGACTCCATTTGATAGTGTTTGTTCATTTCCTTAACACCACTGCAAGTACACTTTCCATAGCTACAGTTAGGTCGAAAATTACTCAATTCGTCCCACATAGTTTTGAGTTTAGTAAAATACGCACTTATACTGTTTTGATCTTGAGTTAAATTCATCGGATCCCTCCTTAGTTGAAAGATCCATGGTCCATTACTCTTTTGGAATTTTTCCTTGAGATCATTCCAGATTTCATATGCTGTAGAAACATAGATTATGCTAGCTGAAATCTCTTCCGAAATTGAATTAAAGATGCTAGAGATCATCATATTATTATTCCGAACCCATGAATTGACCAAATTAGGATTTGCTCATGGATGACCTTGAATCAGAATTGTTTTCAGATTGTGTTGATTCCATCAGAATAAAAAAGAAATCGATGCAGGATAAAAAGAAGAAAGAGATGAACGCTGGAAGGAATATGCTCTGATACCGTATTAGAATTGAATTGAAATGAAAATCAGATGTTGTTATTGATCAGAAGTCTTTGAAATGTATGTGCAAATACAGCATAAATAGGCGCCAAAAGAGAGAGAAAAAGCCACCCGTCATAACAAATTTCCAGCTGGTAAAACTATTTGTCTAATTAGCTAACTAAATTCCCAAGTATATACAAAATACACATTGGTTCTAATAACTTGCTTTACTTTATCTGATAAAGTTCATTTAAGAGAAAATGTTGGATTTTCATTGTCACAGACTAGATGATAAAATCATTGAAGATAGAAAAAATGATTTAAATCTTTTGTCAAATTTCTAATTGGAATATTGACTACTTCAAGAATCAAGTGTTTTTGGCAAATTAATTAAATTATTATTATTATTATTATTATTATTATTATTATTATTAATTTTAATATTATATCGTGCTATTAAACTATAAGATCGTTCAATTAACAGTCCAGATGATGTAATTTTATTATGGTATTGTAAATGGCTTCTGTGATAATTGTAGATTTTGAAAGATGAAGCTACAAGGGAGCAGTACGATTACGCAATTGCACACCCGGAGGAGGTTAGTATAGTTGATGATTTGCCTATACTTTGATGTATACTGTCTGCATACATGCTGAGAGTTATCGATGCTATGCATTATCATATTTGTGGCGTTCTCTTTGTAAATAGGAAAATCAATTATCTAGAGCCTAAAACACTATTCCTGTAATGCACTTGTAAATGAGTCATCCGCCACTGATGATGAATGATCCTGCATGAATTATCATCATCTTCATTATTTTTCTCCCATGGTGGAAAGATTGCAAGGGAATAGAGAGATGCTTTTTCTCAAGTCTGAAGTTGACACTGCCATAATGAAGCAAGTTAGAGTTGTCATTTCGAGTTTTGTTCGATCAATTCAGTGCCATGAAAGTATATTTATCCTACCATTGACCTTGGTACATGTTACCTGTCATAAATGATGAGTTATGAAAGATTGGTTTAAACTAAAGGCCAGGCTTTACTGGATGAATAACAGAAAAATCCTGATAAGGATTTCATGTGTTGAGAAGAGGAATTTTTTAATCATACCAAATCTTCGATGTGTTTTTGCATTTGTTACAATAGATTATGCTGATCTAAGAAAATTTGGACCAGTACAAAATATAGAAGCAAGTGTTCAAATAATTTTCTCTGCATTTGATGTCCACTCATCTTTTATTTTTTTTAAATTTATCAAGAGCAACCATTTCTTTTGATAGTTAGGTTGTTAACATAATTAGGTATTCTTAAACTTTATCTCCTTGTTTATTAGGTATTCTATAACGCAGCTAGATACTACCATTCTTACTATGGCCACAAAACAGTAAGAACATTTTACATTTTCTTTCTAATCTTTTATATACTCAGCTTATTCCAGATTAACATGACTTAGAAAGTTTAGTCTTCATTCTGTTATCAATCTATATTTTGATATTAATGATTTCTTTTGCTAGGATCCTCGGGCTGTCCTTGTGGGGCTTCTTTTGGTGCTCTCTGGATTCCAGTATTTAAACCAGTGGACAAGGTATACACAGGTAACTGGAGACATTGTCTCTCTCATAAAAGGTTATCATTGGATATATTTAGGGAAATGTTAATATTAGGATGCAACATAAAAGCTTAAATGAAGTATAAATTGTCTTTAGTTTATTCTATATCCAATATGATACAAGCTACATTATGTGGGACATTCTTATTAGCCATAGATTTGAATTTGTTAGGTAGTTGCTATTTCTTATTTCATATTCACTTGTACATCAGAGTTCAGAAACAGTTATTCTATCAGAGAAGTATTTTCATACATTAACAATGTATTATCAACTAGTAGGCATTATGCTCAACAAATGTAGATAGTAATGTAACTGCCTCACTATTACTAGACTATGCAGAGAAGAGTAAGCTGTGCACATACGTGGTATAGAAGCTATGAAACTTGGCTTATCATCTTTGCTTCCTACTCTTCCACTGTACTAAGTTCTCTTGTCGTTTCAGGCTATTGATATGGTCAAGAAGTCACCCGCCTACAAAAATAAGCTAAAGGCCTTGGAACTTGAACGCACTGGGGGAACGACAATTAAGAAGAAAAGTAACAAGCAAGTAGATAAGTACGTTTATTTTGAATACATATGGTTTTGAGTTGTCAGACATTTCTATATTTCTCATTGAGCTCGATTGGATACCTTTTCTTTTAGGATTTTGATTCTATTTGCACTCATTAATTTACTTTTTTCATGGATTTTTTGAGGTAAAGATGAGTAAAGTACCCTTTTTGTGGCAGGAAGCTACAGGAAGAGCTCAGCAAGGAACTTGATTTGCAGATAAAGGGTGCTGAAAAGCCCTCTGTTTGGGAACTTTTGGGCATTCGTTTCTTGCTACTCCCTTACACCGTCGGGAAGGTTGGTGTAATCTTCTTTCTAACACTAATTACCGATGCATGAAAAGAATGCCTTAATTTTTCTGGCTGTTCTCATTCGTTATCTTTTGTGGCTGCTGTGCACTTTTAACCTGAAATCTTAAATTTAATTGTGCATAATAAGATTTCTGATTTTTGCTGTCCACAGCTTCTCTTATGGTATGGATGTTGGTTCTGGAGATACAAGGTGAAACGAGCTCCATATTCGTGGGAAGATGCCTCCTATCTAACAAGAAGATCTCTTGGAGCACCTTCTGATTCATGGAGATATATAGGTAGGAGAGCTTGTCCGTCTCAAAATTCAACCTGTGCTTAGATAGTGTGGGCTGTTTTTATATTCAGTTGCAATCTTAATTCTAGGTTACCTTAGGAATGCTGATATCTTTATGAGGTTTCTCAACTTTCTGTACTCACATATTGAGACTCACTTCAATTTGTTTATTTGAACCCACCTGGAAATATGGTTGCTGTCATGTGGATCAAGTCATTCACTTTCTAGATAGCCAACCATAACGAGGGTAAAATATGGGAGTGACAGTAGTGATATTTGATGATTTCTGATATCACTTGCCTCCTTGCCCAAGAGGCTTTCCTATCGTGGAGGGGACAGTTTCTGATAACAATTTTTCTAGTCATAATTTTGGCAGTTCGCATGTAGCTTTTATTATCTGTGTTGAGCTGGAATTTCTGATTGTACGGTTTTGGTTCTTCAGTCTAATTCTTTCTATTGTGTCCTCTAGATGAATCAACCAAGGAAGATCTTATTCAGAGACGACTATGGGAAAAAGCCAACTTGGAGAGCTATATGGCGGAGATGAGGAAGGAATCAAAACGCAGAAGATAGAAGTTTTGTGACACAGCCTGGTGACCGTGATTATCCTGTACTCTATTGCAGGAAAGCAGGCGCGAGAATTTTTTACGGAGAGAAGCGTTTAATATACAAAAGAAAAGCCAAACCATAGCACATGGTATAATTATTTTTGCAGCCTCAGTGTACAGAATTATAATATTTATGTTTTCATAAGGTCAGTTTAAATTTTCAAAATATTAAATTAATTTTGTAGGTTACATTGGGATTATGATTCAAATAATTGAAGTTACTTTTTAGCAAATCTGGCTATTCTAGCCCCACAACAAACGGCTAGATCCGAGGCATACAAATACAGGACTTAACTCTTAGGATTGCAAATCTCCCTGGTGGATCGTTTAGTCTGCAGCACAATTTCTGATGCTAAGGATCCTCAAGAGAGACAATAGCAGAGCATACTTTTGTTACTTCTCAAATTGCTGGTTTAACATGACTGTTGAAACAAATATTAGTATTCCGGATTTCTCGTGAGAAACATAGAGAAATTAGAAACTCATGATCTAAAGGAACTCAAAGATTTATTTTCTGAAACGTTTCGATGATCCACAAGAAAGGAGGAGAGTCTCCTTCAATAGTACAATGATTTTAATAACCGGACAAACATGACATATGACTTGAGTACACATCATTTAACTCATGTCCACGACATTTAACACATGTAGGATACGAGTACAATAATTATCCAAGTCGACACACAACTTTTGACTGTAGTAGATCCTACTTTAATAAAGCAAACAATGTTTTATCAATTATTTTGCAAAATGACAGATGACTCATACAAAATGATAAAATATTTTGATCTGAGATGATCTTTTGCAAATTATGGAGTGCCTAAATTTGCTGCTATGGTTGGTTCATCCGAGTCTTTAGAGTTTGATGATAATCATAGTATTTTCCACCACGGCATATTTTCTTCTCTCTCCATTTCCTTTTTCTTCTTCAAACTGTCGTTCAAATTTCTCAAAATTGTAAAAGTCAAGAGGATCAAAAGATTGAGACCATGGACCTTGGGAATCTAGAAGTTGGGACATTGTCAATTTTGGTTGGCTTGAGCTCATTCCTTCTTGTAACATCGGCTCTGGCTGGCTTGCTGGTTTGAGTTCATTGGTTCTTTTCCTCTTTTCCTTGTAAGATGTGGATTTTCTCGCCCCATGTGAAGAGTCGTACAAAAAACATTTTCATTTAACATTTTCCAATGTCTCTCTCTGAGTTGGTGCCCTTCAGGAGTATCTTCTGAGTATTTAACTATCTGTCCCAAAGTCTGTGTTGGTCGTCCCAGATATAATTGTTTCCAACAATTATCAAAATGATAATCCTCGGGGCGAATAATTGGATACCAATTGTGAATCTGGCTTAAGCTTTCCATATGAGCCCGAATGTCTTAGTGGATTCTCTGAGCGTAGTCTATTGGAAGAATTTCCCATGGAGCATCATCTTCAATTTTTGGCCAAATCTCTAGAGGAATTGTTTGATTTATTTCTGCCATTTTTCTTTTGAATGTTCTGAACTCTTGAGGGTATCTTTCCCATTCTTTGTGGAGATTGAATGGCTGGACCGCATATTCTCGAACATGAGAGAGATGTCGATAGTATCCTGATTCAGTAAAATAATCCTATCTTTGAAATACGAGGATCACATGAACATTAATAGATGAAGTTCTAAGATCTTTGAATTTTAAATAAAAATTTCGAAATTTTTCTCTCTAATGTGAGAGAGTATAAAACCATTCAAAAAATCTTATAATTTCATTGTTTGAATGAGAAATGAATTCTGGGTAATCCTTCCAAAGTTGTGAAGTTTTTTCTGAAAGGTATGAAACCATGATATCAGCATTAAAACAGATTGGAACTTGATATGTCTCAAAAAGATACAATAAAAAAAAAAAAAAAATCTTTTGAAAACTTTTCTTCAATTTGTCCTGGATTAAAATAAAAGAGGTTTAAAAATGAATATTCTGGATGAAAGCCAAGTCCACCAAAAAGTTGGATCCCATTTTGTCTAATAACAATGGATTGATATTTCGCATGAGTTCCTTCGATCTTGAGTGGATAATTTGATTTCTAATGAGAGTTTGAATTTCAGGAGGAAAGTTTTGAATAGGAGGATTTTGTAAGAATGAGTTTGAGGATGGATACATCATGCAGATGGTAGGGATTTGTGATTGGATAGGAGGTTTTGTTTTGGAGAGTAAATCAAGTAAAAGATTGTGTTTGCCTTTAATATGTTTGACTTCAAAGTCAAAATTGGAAAATCATTGTGCGCATATTAAAAGTTGTGAATTTGGAATCTGGTTCTTTTTTAATTGAGCATTTGAGGAAATGCCTTCAAGTCCATTTCTACCAGAAATTTGTGACCAATAAGATGGAATTGAAACTTTTCTATTCCCCGTTTTACTCCAAGAATCTTCTTGAACGTTGAATGATAATGCTTCTCAGATTCTTTGAACATACCACTTTTGTAGCCACAAATTCTTCTTTCGCCATCCTTTTCTTCTAAAAGCACTGCTCTCCAATATAAATCACTTGCATCTGTTTGTAGAATTCTTTTTTCCATCAGTGGGAATTTTTAGTGCCAGAAGATTATAGACTTCTTGTTTGATTCTTTTGATGGCCTGGGTTTGTCTGGGTGACCATTGTGGAGGATTTTTCTTGAGCATCTCCTGTAAAGGTCGTATAACAGGAGCCAACTGTTTGAAAAAGTATGTCATGTAGTTTACTACACCAAGAAATTGTTGGACCCGTTGTTTTGTTAAATTCTCATCGGGAAATTTGAGGAGCTCTTCAACAATGTGTGGCTGGAGTGAATAGCTACCATTTTTTATATGCATCCCGAGAAAATAAATTTCAGATACTGCAATGATCATATTTTCCTGTGATAGCATGATCCTATGTTCTGTGACAATTTTCGTGAACATTTGGCGTAGTAACTCGTGGATATCCTTATTTTCAGAGAACAATAGTATATCATCAATATAAATCAATGCTGTTTTTAGTAGCAGCTAAAAGATTTTAACCATTGCCTTCTGAAATAATGAAGGTGCCGTTTTCAGCCCAAAAGGCATAACCGTCCATTGAAAATGTTGATTAGGTACACAGAATGATTTTAACCATTGCCTTCTAAAATTATAAAGGCGCTGTTTTCAGCCCAAAAGGCATGACCGTCCACTGAAAATGTTGATTAGGTACACAAAATGTTATTTTGTGCCTTTCTTCTGGTTTAATCCCTAATTGCCAGAAACCTGCCTTCAGATCAAATTTTGAAAAAATCTTTACTTTTGCCAGATTTGCAAACATGATTTCTCTATTGGGGAGAGAAAACTTATCATCTGCAAGAAAATGATTCAGCGACTTATAATCAATGACAAGTCTTAACTTTCTTCTTATTTGCTCACTTCTTTTGTTGACATAATTTGCTTGACATGCCCACTGTGATGTAGTGGGTTCTATGAGTCCTTCTGACTGTAATTGAGTCAATTTTTTTGTGGCAAGCTCCAAATGTTCAGGACTCATCCCAGTGTGACTCGCTTTTGTTGGATTGATATCCTCATTCTTTTTGAAAGGCAATGTTATAAAAAAGTCTGGGTTTTTCCAAAGAGGCTTTGTGCATTTGGTAAGGAATTCTGTATGAGATTTTGCACAACAATCTCTTATAACAGTTTCTGTTATGGTTGGTATTGTGAGGGTAAAATATGTGATTGATTCAATATAAGGGATAAAGTAGGATTTGAATTTGAGTCCATTTGAAAGAGGTCTAGCCCGTCTTTCCCATAACAGTTTGATAACATCAAAACCAATAACAAGATCTTTTCCTAGTAATAATGATCCAAGTAGTTTATGAGAAATATTTAGCTCAAGGAAGAATTGGAGTGTTACTGGTTTACTGATAAGTTCTGTGGCAAAGTATTCATTATTGGTTGCTTGAAAGATTTTTTGATAGGGTTTCCACATGTTTTTTGGGAGTATTGTTGGGTTAAGAATTGAGGATACCGCTCTTGTATCGAGTAATGCTGCAACTGTAACAGGTCATTCATACTTTTCGGGGAAAAGCTTGATTCCAATCATTGGTACTGCCAATGAAAGATTTATAACCTGCATTCTAAAACATTCTTGCATGCTTTCATTAATCCTGTCATTAATATGAGTATCATCATTGTATTCAAGAGTGAAAATGGTTTCCGGTTATTATGCTTCTTCTTCTGAAAACAATGACTCCAAGTCCTCTTCATCGAGATCAACTTGAGTTCCTTAAAGGTTCTGGTTGAGAATTTTGCATTTTCTTTTACTAGAGCAACTTTTTTGCAAAATGACATTTTGTTTTCCACAAATAAAATATCTGTTTACCTTCCTTGATGAATTTTTTTCCCTAAAAAATCTCTTTTTTGAAGGAAACTTGGAAAATCTTTGCCTTTTCTTGAAACTTCTAGTTCTGTATTTTTGAGGCTTTGAGCATTCACATCCTCTTTCTACATTTCTGCATTTTATTTTTAAACTCAGTTGATCACAGGCTTTTCCAAATTGTTTTTCGTTCATGTTAAAATCACCAAAGAGTTTTTAGTTTCTTTAAATTTTAATCACACATTCTTCAAAAAATACTTTTGAAAACTCTATATTTTCTTCTATAATGAGAGACAAACAAGTTCAAGGTGGCACAATCCCCAATGAAGAACTTGTTCCTATAGGTATCAAAACATTGCTATGTTGAGATATTTTATGGTCTCTTGAGGAAATGGATATTCGTAGAAAAAGGTTTAATTTTTATTTTTATATTTTTTTCTCTCCACTCAGACAAATTCACCTATTTGGATTCTTATATTTATAGTAATTTGTATATTTATCCAATGAGATTATGGATTTGTTGCATTATGGAAGGTTTGGTCACTGTTTGATGTCAATTACATCTTGTTTGAGAGTGATTTTTCATCTCAAAAAATTAATTTTTTTTACCATTATTTCACTATTTCAGTCGTAAAGTTTGACTTATCTCTTATATATATATTTATTTATTTATTTATTTATTTAAATAATTTTTAAAATAGTGATTTTTTGGAGAATGTGTGATTAAAAAGTATAAATTTTTTTTTAGGTTTATATGTATAAAGTATTTATTCTGAAAATATGTATCTAAAAATGGGTAATTTAAAAAATAAAATTGAAAATGGTAAACAAATGAGGAGTTGGCAAGATATATGCACTTCCTCGAGAATAATAAAATTGAAAATTGAAAAATAAAATTGAAATTTGATCTTGATATTTTGACAATATTTGTGGTTTCTCAAACAAAAGGTTAGCTTCATAGTCAAACTCAAACATTAAGTTAAGCATATATTTGTGATTATACTTAATTATTATTCAAACCTTGTCTCCTTGTTCGATGATTTTTCTTTTTCCTGAAAAATGCTTTTTGAATAATGTTTTAGGAGAGTGTGTACTTAAGCCCTCGTTTGAGCCCTCTTATTTGGAGATTATAATGTTTTGAATAGTATTTTTTTTTAAAAAAAATGAGTGGTTAAAAAGAAAAGACAAATTTTTGGTTTACATGTAATATTATTTTATTGAAAATTATGTGATTAAAAATAGGAGAGAGAAAATTTAATTTAATTTATTGAGAAATAATGGGGGTCAGGGGTTAAAATGTTACGGAATTTTTTTGGATTTATTTGTAAAATAATTTATTGTGTAAATGTGTGTTGAAAATAATCTTAGGTCTCGTTTAATACCTATTTTTTTCAAAATGTATTTTTCTCCCTCTTCTTTTCAACCATATATTATTTATTAAAATAATATTACACGTAAATCAAAAATTTTTCCTTATTTTTTAACCACATATTTCCCATCAATTTACTATTCAAAAATATATTTTTAAATAAAAATACATCTCAAACATTTTTGAAAAAATGGAGATCAAACAAGAATGTATTTTTTTAAATCTCCATGTTTTCAAGAATGTATTTTTTTAAAACTCATTTTCAACCACACATTCTTCTATAAAATAATTATACACAAATTTCAAAAATTTATTATTATTTTTTAACGACACATTCTTAAAAAACAACTATTCCATAATGCATTTTATCATAGAAATGAGAATCAAACAGGTCAAACGGAGGCCATAATTTTTGTGGTTCGCAAATTGATAACATCAGCCAAACATATGCTATGTTTTTCGTGTTCATATAAACGAAAACCTGCCGCTCCGGCGCCGGCGCCGCATTTGCAACTCTCCGATACTTAACTTCCCGTTCCTCGTCTCATTATTTTTCCGACCTAAATTCACAAGTAATTTCCCCTGGGCCCCAATCCACTCTCTCATATTCACTCATCATCCTCACTTTTTCCGACTCACGATGACCGCTGACAATCAGGTAAAAACGCCTCATTTTTATTTATTTATGGGTTCCCATTACTTTTGATTGATTATATTTCGTTCTTTCGTTTCAAGGTTGGATTTTTGGTGCCTCTGAATCCTAGTAACTTGGAGGAACAAAAGGACTCTTCAATTCCCAAAATTTCACTCGCTGAGGGCATTAATTACGTTGGCCGCAATTGCATTCCGGTAATTGATAAACGGCTCAGTAGGAAGCATCTTACACTCAACATCTCCGCCAATGGTTCTGCCGAAATTCTCGTTGTACGCCTATGCTCTTTTTTCACTGTTGTGTATTATTTTGATGATGCCGGATCAATGTACATAAAGTACTGAGTTTTCTTTTTACTTGTTTAATGCTATTGTTGGAATAGTTAATTATTGGAACTGAAATGCAGGAAGGAACGAATCCAGTTGTAGTAAGGGCCAGGAATGAGAGAAAAAAGCTTTTATCTGGAGAAAAATGCACAATTGGAAATGGTGATGTTTTGGAAATGATACCTGGGCATTACCTTTTCAAGTACCTGATCGCGAAGAACATGGAAAGTTCATCAAAACAGAAAAGACCTCTGAATAAAGAAAGCAATAGCAGCAAAGACCAGGCTTATAGTAGCAAGAAAACACGGAACATTTGTGAGGACACTTTGGTGAGAAAGGTACAGCCCTTCCTGTTTTCATTTATGCTAAAATACTACTGTTGAAGAGTGCAAAGTTTTGAATTTAACACTTTATTTT